TATATCACGTTTCCCCCCCCCCCCATCAAATCTAGTTTAAAGCCTTTTATAGTTTAAATACTTTTTATAATATCTTTTTCTTCCAATGAGGAGTCCCAGTCTAATAAACACACAGTGCTTTGTCACTTCTTTTATGGAAGTACAGCTTCAGTGTTTATTTTTCTCGAAAAAGTGTCTAGAGAAGACTTTTTTTTAAGAAATCAGAAATGGTTTAGGTTTTTCTGCTGTGTACTGGAAATCTAAGTTTGCTTACGAATGGAGTATCCGGTCAGACTGCAGAGGAGGCACGTAAGGACAGCCATGCTGTAAAGCTCTCATTAAAGTCTCAGGATGGGCTCTTGGTCCCATATTTGCATTCCACTATTTCAGAATTTCATTTTTGGCTTTCTCTGAAAATGCAGTGACTGGAAGTTGTGTTGTTTAGCATAGGAGGCAAACTTCACATGCTGCCTTGTTGTTTTTCTTAATTCCCGCCTTATTAGCATGAAACGTAATTAAATGAGTTATTCTGCCATTTTGCTACCAACTTGGTAATTTTGTACGTGTATGCTTTACGTGGCATTTTTTCTTTTTTCCCCACCTAACACAAATTAGAGAAAAGAGTTAAAGAATGAAAGGGCAGATTTATGACTCCGTTACTTCTGTACACTTAAAAAACCATATCTAGGATTTGGTATCATAGAGGAACTCCTCTTCAGAATGGCTTCTTTAGTATTTCTTGATTATTCTTCTTTTCCTAAATAATAGGAGATCACATGATAATAGAAGAAAGTCTCTAAAATGTTTTCTAATTAAAATTTCAGTACAAAGATTGAAAAGGAAAAAAGAGAACATGCAAAACAGCATGGGATGATAAGAACTGAAATAACAGGAGCTGAGATAGCAGAGGAAATGGAGAAGGAAAGGCGGCTGTTTCAGCTACAGATGTGCGAAGTAAGAAACAAGTTTCAGCTTTTAATTATGATGCCATAACTTAAAAATAACTTTTAAGCCTTGCTTAAAGGTGGTAAAATCTGCTTAAGCATTTAATGGGGATGGAGGGAGGAAATTATTTCAATGTCACATGGTATAACAATAAAATGATAACTATCTTAGTAACTCTGTACAAAACCTGCCTTTCTTTTGTTTTATTAATTTTCTTTGGTTTTAAATTATTATGCGAAGGTTCTCAGGCTAAAAATGTACTATGGAAATATTTCTTATTTTTTCAGGTTTATGATTGAGCAGTTCAGGAAATATTTTGGATCTCTTTCTTCCAGTGTGCTTTCTGAAGCCTTCTAAAATTTCTAATGAAGTGATGAATGATAATGATACACTAATTCTGTAAAACTCCTTTTTATATGAATAGTTCTCTTTATTGCATTTTAGTGATGATTACTTTAAACGACGATTTACTTTTGCATAGTGTTTCTGTTCTTGCATAGTATTTCTGTTTTTAGAATGTTTTGGTAATTACTGCAGGAGCATTAAAAAGGGTACATCTTCAGACAACTGTAGAAGATGAAACTTTTTGCTGAACTTGTTTTATATTTTGGGGTGTTTGAATTTGTTAGGAATGGGCAAATAAGCTGGTTTTTGGTTTCTATTTTGCTTAACTGTGGTGGATTGGTGGCTTTATACACCCAGCTTAAACACAGAGATAATGAATTAGTTGAGCAAATGATGTTTTATTGATTGAAAACTGCTGAAAGTTGTGAGACATGGTTATCAACATTTTTTTCACTGTCTATACAGTATCTTATCAAGGTCAATGAGATCAAGACAAAAAAAGGTGTGGATCTTCTGCAGAACCTTATTAAGTATTATCATGCACAATGCAAGTAAGTGGAGTGCTTTTAAGATTTAGTTACAATTTGCTTTTCTTGTACCAGTGGGTTTTTTTCCTTTTGTCTTGCATTTTGGTCTTTACCTCAGGAATTTTTATCATAACTATAGTCTGCCAGATGTCCGCATCTTCGCCTGATTTGGCTGTAGCCATACAGAAAATGATTGCGTGGGGCAGGGGAGCGATGGAGAAAAAAGCCAAGGGAAAACCTTGCGTGTTGTGTACAAAATCAGTTTTCATTCCTGAGCCATAGGTCTAGAATGTCATTTTTAAAATAGCTTTTTTATTCTATTTAATAGTTTGTGGGCTTTTATGTAAGTTTTAAAGCCATTGTGAAAGGCAATAATGTATTCGAAATTCCTGGAGGTGAAACTGGTAAGGTAGGGCTTTGTCATCAGGAGAAGCAGAGGCAAACATACAGAAACTTTTACTGAAGTTTTTTTTCTGAAGTTTTTCCTGAAGTTACAGGAAAAAGTTGTTTGAGATTACTGAGGGGAAACATACTGACTTACAGCGATGAAAATAAGCTAAGCTATATCTCCTCTAATTTAGTATTTGTTAAATTTGCAGTGTTGTATCTCCACTGCTGAAAGATATCGTACTTTAAAACTACTTTTGCTGGCTTGTTTGTGGTTTTTTTGGGGTGGGGGTTGTTTTTTCATTTCTGAACATGGGAAGAGCTGGCTCTGTTTTATTGGTTTAGCTGTTTTTTTCCATAAGAAAAGCTACTTTCTGTTGTGAATTATATGCATTCCTGATAAATCACAGGTATTTTTCATTATAGTTTCTTCCAAGATGGCTTGAAAACAGCTGATAAACTTAAACAGTATATCGAAAAGTTGGCTGCTGACTTATATAATGTAAGTTTACTTATAAGTAGTTTAATCTCTGCAACTTGAAATATTTTATTTATATGGATGAATTGTAGATATGCCTACAGGGGTGTATATTTCATTTCTATCTCATAAATGAAAAGTGTGTTCTTTGAGACATTGACTATAGCTACACTGAGGAAAAAACATTGCAGCTGTCTTAAACTTTGTATTCTGTTTCTACAGTTATTAGGAAAAGTAGCTTTAATTCTACTGCTAATTTAATGTTGCCTTAAAATAAAACTAGTTTAAAGTGGCAATCTTTGAATCAGATTATATTATTAGCACCAATTTTAGCTACCACTTTAATTTTTCAAAACCAAACTGCTTGATGATAGCACCACAGTTTTTAAGTTAATTAACTTGTGATGTTCATTGAAGGTGAGTAATGATGTGGAATCAAAGCCCACTTGTCACCCAAGCACTTTGGTATTCTGTAATCAGACTTACAATAATCCCATTTGATATTGTAGTTTGTGGCTAAATTAAACTATATTTTCATTTCTTAAATAATCTCTGAAGCTTATTAGAGTTATTTAGTTAATATTGCAGAGACTAATTTAGTTGCATTAGATACTGTGAACCATTAAAACATAACAGAACAGAACATGTGGAGCTGTACATTTATTTTAGCTGCTTTTCAACTTTTACGTGCATAGAAGGTGAATGTGTAAGAAGGGATTAGTCCGTGAAAAGAAACTCAAATATTACGGGACCACAGAACAGTTGAGCTGGTTCTTCAGTACATCTAAAATGGTATCTTGGAATGCATAAAAAATGAAAATTGAAGTTGCATCCAGAAAGCTTATCATGGCAATCTTTTTCCGTAGATAAAGCAGACACAAGATGAAGAAAAGAAACAACTTACTGCTCTTCGTGATTTGATAAAATCTTCTCTGCAGCTTGATCAGAAGGAGGTAAATAATTTAGATGTGCTATTCTCAGATGTAATGTGAATTTATGAATTCTGTATTCAGAAATAGGTTTAACTGATGTTCAGTTTGTGTAGTTGTTGGTTCAAGAGTTGGACTTAGAACATCGTGACAAAACTGATATGTAGAATGTTCAACTTCAACAGTTTTAGATTCATTTCCTGTTTCCGTTTTACATGTGAAAATATGTTATTCCTTTTTTTGTGTAACTTGATATTTTATGTACTTTTTAAATGTGCTGTAAGAACAGTTGTCATGGATCATATAAATACTTCATGTAGCCCAGTATCCAGTCCTTGGCAATGATAAACCCTGAGTGTTCAGGAAAAAAAAATCAAGGGATGGGATGCACACTTCTGTCTTCTGCCCTGCCATCCTCCAGCCAGATTGTGCTCAGGGCTTTCCTGACCTGGGTGACCCTGACTAATCCAGAACAAGAACTAGGGGCTTGTCTTCACGTATGGTTTCCGTATTACCATTCCTCTGCTGACTCACATGGATTTTGTGATGTTGTTCTCCTTCCCAAACCCCTTTGCTACTACTGTATTGTAAGGAAGAAAATTTGTATCTTAGCCAGATAGCAGTGGCAGAGACAGGGCAGTTAAAAAAAAAAATACATCTTCGATTGCACTGGTATCCGAAGTGTAGGGGGAACATGCAGTATCTGTTGCAGATGTCCTGAAATACACATTGAACTGGGAGATAGGAGATAATATATATCACAGCTTTTACCTGAGAGTATTGACACTTTTTCCTAGTCATAGTGCCTGGGAGATATAAATACTGAATATCCTGTGGAGTGTGTGGAGAGGAGGGATTGGCTTTCCTTTAGGAGAAGATCATTTAGCCTCCATTCAGTTTTCTCTTAGGTAAATAAAACATTAATATTTGCTAGGTGTCTACTCATCTTATTAAATATTTTATATTAAATATGAATTATAATTAAACATTAGACAGATGCCATTCTGCTGCATAGATATGATCATCTGCATATACAGTTAGGCAGTATTGCTAATATCAAGGATACATAAGAATGCAATTTACAACCAGATGTACTGCGTCAGCCAAGTTTCCAACGGCGATCAATCACGAATGCTTAGAGTCAAATGCAGGGCAATAAACAGTGATGCTTCCCCAGAATACCCTCCCATTAGCAGTTGGCTGTCTTTGCAGTCCCACCACCACCCTCTGGATTTTCTGTCTTTGAATTTGTGCAGTAGCTTTTTGAAGCATTGTAAATTGCCAGCTTGTGGTACAGCTGCATCTTTCCCACCTTTGCTACACGTTGTGTGAAAAAAATCTTTTTCCTTTTGTTTTGAACCTCTATATGTGCACACCCAGATCTAGATCTGCATGATGGGAATGCTTGTGAATTTATGATAGCATCACCAGATCTTTTCTGATCTCTTTTACTTTTTCTAATCTCTTTTTATTATTTTCTTAGATGTCCTAACATTGACTTGCTTTTTGACCAGCACTTAGTGCAGAGAAGGAGGTGTGTGATGTTTAATCAGCTGTGAAGCTATAACCATATCATCCTGTTTCTTTCTGCATGTTAATACAGAATGCTTTCTGAATGTCAACTCACAGTACCTTATTTTTCCCCTCTGCATCACTTTGCGTTTGTTTGTGCTGATCTTCAGCTGTCGTTTACTGTAAAGCTACTCAATATCATGAGGTCCTTGAGAAATTCTTTCTTGGTATCCTGAGTAATTTAATACCATCTAGCAAACTTTGACATTTATTCATTTTTTTTGCCCTTTCCCAGATTGTTTTAGTGTTAGACACCACGTGATGGCACTGCTTTCTATGAAACTCATTTGTTTGGTTTGTTTGCTTTTATCTTGTTAGCTCCTCTGAGGAGTTTTCCTCTTGTGCTGTAGCAATGTAACTCCTTCCCTTTCATAACAAACACTTAAGTGCCCATGGAAAGTCCAGGTAGACTTTCAGACTGTGTCAGTCTGATTTCGGCTGTGTCTCTACTACTGATTCCTTCAGAGAACTCAGGGACATTTTTGAGACATAACCTTTCTGTACAAAAGCTGCACTGATTTTCCAATATATATAGTACTAAATGTGCTCTTAAAAGCAGTTTTCATTAATCTTCCCTATGTGATGTGAAGCTTACTAAGCTTTACTTTCCTGGAATTGTTCTGGAACTTCTTCAAAAGTAGGATTTTAGTTACTGGGCAAGTTAGTATTTTTATGGGCTTTTGTGTAATTTTGTAGGTAGCACATTGTGATTATGGCTACTGCATGCAAGTAAATGGCTTGAAGTTAGTAAATTGTTTCAAGGGGAATCACAATTAGCAAGGAATGATTGATGAGTCATTCCTTAAAGTGTGATGGTGGTGTATTTGGTTTTTTTTCTTCTGAATACTTGCCTATGTGTGCTTTTGTAATGTAGATGTACATTATATAGCAGATAAACCTTGGCCAGAAGGCTTTTCCTCTCCCGGCATCTTTAATCTCATTTTTTCTGTCATTCAACACAGCCTTACAGCATACTATACATTGTTTTTAGAGTTTCTTTGATATGACAACTGGTGACAGGAGCGCCACAGAGCGCCTTTGAATAGATCCCAATTTATTGTAAGACCTACCAGCTCTTTCTAGTACTCAGTTTTCCCACATCTCATACTCTGCAGTCTTTCCCAGTACTCTGTTTGGGGTTTTTTTTCCCCCCCTTCCATCTCCAATGGGCCTATGGACATACTGTCTCTCTTCTGTGATACTTACAGAGCTTCCTATACGTGCAGTACATCTGTAATGTCCCCAATATCTAAATCACTCTGAAGGTAACTCATGCTCTTTCTGCATCCCCACCCCCAAAAGTTGAACAGAGAACATTGGATTTCAAGAGCTGTTTGGAAGTAACTTTAAATTCTTAAGTGTTTTGTGGATCAGTTCCCAATACATGGAGGAACAAGACCTGCTGTCTTCTCAGGTAGCTTTTTCTTCCACAGGCTGATTATCTGGGAAGCAAAGAAAAATACCTCCTCCTCTCCTGGCTGCTGCATGTGTTGTTATGTTCAAGCTACTTGGTAGTCAGCCAGATCTCAGAAATCAAGTGGGACAAGTGGGTTGTTCATCTTTGGCACCGTGTATTGTACATATATGGCTGCATAGAGTACATGTCAAGTTGCAGAAGTTGCTTACAGTGTATTATGATTTATTCTGACTAAAATGAAATACAGTGTTTGATTTTTAGTTATCTATTTCCTGGCTGTGTAGTAAAAATAATTCCGAGTGGAAGGTAAACTTACTTAAAATATAAAAACTAAACAAGTCACATTCTGAATCTTAGATACATGTTGTAATAAAGTAGTTTCACAGGCATCAGCAAAATAAACTATGCAACTTTTCTTACTCTAATTAGTGTAGACAAATCCTAGGACCCTTGAAAAAGCTCTGTGTGTGTATGTATGATAGCTATATAAAAAGTTATATGATGCTTATAAAAATAAGATGTTGGGCTTGAAAAGAATTGAAATTGTGTCTTAGAAGATAAAGGAGTGATAGTGTGATTCTCAGATATTCAGGGGAAAGACAGAATCAGCTGTCATGAGAGAATCCACTATTTTGAATAAAGTAACCATTTGATCACATTGATATTCAGATGTCTCAAATTCAACGTCAGGGCTTTCACTCACATGATGCTGCTACATAAGTCAGAGCGTAACGATACCAGCAGATACTGAGGAGCTTGATAAGACAATGTCTCTGTTTAGGTATTCAGTGTTTTAATCCTGAGATAGCACACCAACATTAATTGCTCATTAGTTAAGTGACAATGAAACTTGAAGACACATGGCCTGAGTTTTACCAGTCAGCTCCCCGCCATTGTGGATATCTGAATCTTCAAGTGTGGAAAGCTGGGCTTTATTGCTGTCACAGATGGCCTGGTTGGTTGTGATTAAAAGTACATTTTCCCCCTTGTATTAGTGCATTATAATCTCACTGCTGGAAAATTTATGGATTAATGGAAATATTGAACATGAAATGAATGGGATTTTCTCTGGTGGATTTGTAAAAATTCAGAAGTACTCTTACCAAAAATTACTTCATCATGGAAATGGATTTAAATAATACCATTAAGTGCCTGGTTGTGTGTAGTTTTAGGTTTCTTTGACCCTTTGTGCAAGAGAAGGAAGTTGAAACTAGTTATTGCTGTCCAGAATGCAACCTCTGCCATGTTTAACCTCTTTGGAGTTGCCATCAGATGAGTGAGACTTCCTACCCATCTCAGACTGACTTGCTGTCACTGGTGACAACAGAGATTCCTGTGTGGCTGTTAAAGCATTTAGGATCTTTTTGGGTTAAAAACAATGTACATGGAAAAATTACTCTTCAGCACCTATACTTTCATTCAGGAAAAGCCACTTATTTGCTAAATGAGCTAACCTCATTACCTACACTTTCAAGATTGAGACCTTGTGCAACTCTTGTTTTATTATTGCCTGCAGTCAAGGTGTTTATTTAGCATTATGGACTTCTGTAACGCTCTTACACGTTTCACTGGCACACCTGTCTGTTCATCGGTGAAATAACTCTTTGCAATTCTCCAGTTCTCAGAAAAGCACATCTTGACAGTCTTTGGATCTTGGGTTGGGCAGCAGTGCTTGTACTGTAGCTTTGCTATGGGAAGTACAGTTTACTGAGGCTCTGCTACATGCAGTGTCTCTGGTTGCCCCTAGGTACTGCCTTGGTATCAAGTTATGGCAGTTTCTGTTACTTCGTGCAAGAATTATGTGAAATTGTAAAATTACTGTGGTTTAAACCTCTGAGTAGAAATATTTTAAGGCGTACTAGAGTAACTTTAATTGTTTAATGTATGTATTTTATTTGTTGAAAAAATGTTTAACTGTTAAGAAGCTTACGCTTTAAAGGAAACCAGGCCTTTAATACTGGCTTCTATTCCCTATTTTCTTATATTAATTATTGATACAAATATAACTCAACAGCTTTACACTGAATATAGCTAGTCATGGTTTGTGTCTGTTTTGTTAACTGTTTCTTTACATTTTGACTTATTTCCCCAAATTTCTGTCTGATACGCTCTTTGGAACGGGAATTACATCTCATTACGTTCTTCCCTGTGCCAATACCAATTGGACTCTAATTCCAATGGGAGTTCAACATTGATTTGTAACAAATGAGCTGCTTACTGCAATGGCATAGGGACTCCCTGCTGACAGCGCATTTTACCCCAGCACTTCTCTCTAAACTCCTGGGACAAATTTGGTACAAAATTAAAATCAGTTGTAAGGACCCTGAATAAAATAGGAGGGAATAATCTTCAATATATATGTTGATTGTGGTAATTTCAAGAAGCTGTGCTTTGAAGGAGAAAAGAACATTGCCAAGCGAGTAATTGAATTTCCCATTCTTTTGTTTGTTTTTTTTTGGTGAGATTTTGTACAGATGTTTAGCAGATAATTGTTTCACAGCTACATTTAAAACCGCATCAATGTGCCCTTAATTATACCTCTTTATATAGATTTGCAAAAATTAAAAGTTAACTTTGGGCCTGATCTTTTTCAATGGAAATGCAGAATTGGCTCCAGTTTGGTGGATGATACAATATAGCTGTCATTTTAGACAATTTGCATGTAATGAAGACTGGAAGACATTTAGTAAAATTAGATTCTGTAGTCATCTTAGTTGCTTTTACAAAGCCAGGGTCATATATGCAAGGTTGTACGGAATTTTGTTGTGATGTTTTGTTACTTGCTGAAGAAGAAGCAGCAGTGTGCCTCAAAAAGTAATTCTTGCCTTCTTTCTACCATGTTGTTAGAAAGGGGAAAAATGGTTTTACTAGGTGTGAGGGCTATAAAATTTATGTTCAAGGAACATGTTTTTTTAATAAAATAATAATTCTTCTTTTAAATTATTTGCTTTCTCTTTCCTCTATTGCTTTTGCCTTTCGTGATCAAAGTCTAGGAGAGTAAGTCAATGTTTTAATGAACTTTTTGGGGATTTTTTTTTCTGAAATGCTTATTAAAAGTTAATCCATTTCACTTAATTGTTTCACTAGATCAGGCCAAAAATTATTTCAGTTGACTTCATTGAATAAAACTCATCAATTGTATACATATTTTCAATTGGATTTTTTACAATAGTTATTATTAGCATTTGTTTTTGTTTCTGTATGCGTGTTTCTGTATATATGCATGTTACATTCTCTTTTCTTTTGTAAATTTTATCTTAACCTTTTACTCTTTGATTATGAGATTGTGCAATATTAAATGTCTGTAATTTAAAAAGTCATTATTTTAAGATGCATATTTGCATCCATACAATATTTCAAACACCTGATGAAGTAGTCTTGAAGTAAATCTTGAACATGCAGCTTGTTCAATATCAGGTGATGAAAAGCAAACTCTCCTATGGATGTAAAACATGCATTAGGTGTTCTCTTTTTTATATTTTTTTTTTTTTTAGATCTTTATTAATTTGTGAAGCTGAGATAGAGAAGAGAGATAAAGTAAAATAGGCTTAAATGTTAGGGAAACTTTCTGTGCATGTCAGGAAACTTTAATCGTGTTTTCCCCTTTTTTTAGGATTCACAGAGCAGGCAAGGAGGATATAGCATGCATCAGCTTCAGGGGAATAAGGAATATGGCAGTGAGAAGAAAGGTTATCTTTTAAAGAAGAGCGATGGGTATGTTCTTGGAGCTGGTAACACATAGTGAGAACTACTGCTGTGTTTCTGCCCTGATTTTTATTGTGTTGTAGGGTGGGTGCTTAAGGCACATTTTCCTAATGCGTGTGCCTCAGGTGCTCAAGATTATTTCACAGTTCAAACCTGAACACAGATCTGAACTGAATGTAGTAAATATGAAAAGTGTGACAGGCAATCATAAAAAATCATATTAAAAAGAAAGCTATTGTCTTTATAAGTCTCTAAAAGGTGACTAAGACCTTTCATAATCTCCACGTTACTTCTGATGAGGCATTTAGTAAAAATCTGACTGCATCTGTTTGTTACTCAAGGCTAATCTTCTCAGAATGTTAATGGGATTCATGTGTTTTGAAATCATATCTAGTTACTGAATGTTTTGTTGTTGATCTTCTTATGTAGGTTAAGGAAAGTATGGCAAAGAAGAAAGTGCACTGTTAAAAATGGAATTCTTACTATATCGCATGCAACGGTAAGTTATTTTTATGCCTTTTTATTAAAATAATAACATGATCCTTTCCCAGTGAATCTGCTGGTGTTAATCAGCTATTACAAAAAAGATGCCACTTCTGCAGACTGAAGCTCTGTGGATTTTTCAGAAGTTGAAAACTGATTTAGGGAAGTATTGCTGTACATGGTGCTCTGTTAAAATTTTTCCAAGTTTTCCTAATTTCAAAATGTCCTATGGCCTGTATAAAGTAAGTGACCTCTTCTGTAGCCTTTTAAATTTTTTCAGCATTTTTTCCCCGCTGCTATAGCTTATGATAGTTGATTTAATACTTAACTGCATTTATCAATAGTTTGATAAAAAACATGGCAAATATATTGAACAGACTTTTCAATGACAAATACAACTGATTTCTGATTCACTTTTCTGTTGCAGTGCCAAGAAGAAAGTAATTTTCTAGTTTTCAATGATGTAAAGTTCGGATCATGACAGTGTTTGACACTAAACTTTGAAAATGGTTTTGCGTTACCTTTATATTTGATTTACAACTTCCTAAACTCAGTTCAGAAGTATTTACTGATAACTGACATCTTAAGTTCAGTTTATATCTGCCAGCTATACAAACTTTAACTCAGAATCTCTATGGTTTCTGATAAACCTGTAAAAACCCAAAATACTTTAAAGACATATTTAGTCATCATGTCTTAAGTAACCTAGTTACAGCAGGGAATATTAGTATATATATTTATTCCATGTTCTGAAACTCCAGATCTCCAGCTTCCCACTTCCTTTTTAAAATTTTAGGATTATATCTTTGATTTATTTAAAATGAGAAAAAAATGGGAATATGGACATGCTATAGTGAAAAACTGCGTAATAGTTTTACCATTGTTTATGAAATATAATTAAAAACTTCCATATTAACATATTCTAAATTAAGGGTTATTCCTTTAATCCCTTTCAAATAGTCAGGAAGGACTGCCATGAAGATTTTAATTTTATTTAAATTTAGTTTAGATTTAGCAATCTGTCTGTGGTGACAGACCAAGTCAAAGTCATGCTGGTCTCAAGCATTTTGAGGGTGTGCGTGTATGCATATCCACACTTCAGTATCACACGTGCCTGCTCCCCAGAAAGGAAAAATAATCCTAAACCAAGACATTTTTAAAGTAAAATGAGTTTTCTATTTAGTCCAACAGGCAACCAGCTAAACTCAATTTACTGACCTGCCAAGTGAAGCCAAATGCTGAAGATAAGAAGTCTTTTGATCTAATATCACGTACGTATCGATTTTAATACCATCTTGCATTATATGGAATTTCTAAAAATATCATTGCAAGATACTTCTGAGTAAAAACGAAGCTACAGGTCACAGTTCAGATCTATATCCAGATATATGCAGTGCATCCTGAGTGTCCAGATCCCTCTACTTTTGAAGATGGGTTGAATGGACAAATGAATATCGAACCATTTTTGTATGTGTGACATAAATGCTATTCATTTGTGAAAGGAAATTTCCCCCAGGAAACAGAAAACTCCTTCGGCCTCGTCTTGTTTTTCCTTCATTGTCAGTTCTGCTTTGAGTGTTATTTGAGGAGTTGGGGAAGGCAAGGAGAACCCAATTTCTCTTGTTTTCTTATCCTCCTTCTAAAATATGCTTCTGTTTGTCTAAAACTGGTAGTTTTTGTATCCAGCCTGATTTTTAACTTTTGAAGTTAAGTCAACTTACTGTTTTCAGTCTTCGTTAAACATTGTATCATCAAACAACAGTTTCAACATCTTATATCTACAAGGGCAGCCTTTGAATATGAAGGATACCCAGTTCCTATCTCATTCTTTGATTAGTAAAAAGAAGTGTCTTAACCCAAATGAAGGGAAAAGTATGTAATATAAACAAGTCCATTTTGTCCTTTTCTGCTACTTACAAATCAGATTTGAATTCGGAAGGGCAAAATTTTATTTATATGCTTATTTTTCTTTAATATTTGTAAACCTTAGACTTTTGAAATGCGTACGTTTGGTGTAAATCAAATTTCCATTTCATTTCTCTCGTGTCTTTTTATTTTAGAATTTTTTTTCTGTAGCTATGAATAAAGTATTAATGTTGCTTCCTAAAATCAGTTGCTCTTGAAATCTTTAGTTGCCAAATAGGTTTTAATAACAAATATGTTGATATTTTAAAATGTATTATGTGCCAAATGAGAAGATGTATTTATTTATTTCAGATAACAGAACATACCACTTTCAAGCAGAAGATGAACAGGAATACGTAGCGTAAGAATGTTTACATGTTTTCAAATTTATTTTGCCGATAGAGGTATATGAAATCATGTGTAACAGTGGAAATTTTCTCAGTTAGTGCAGCATGAGTGCCTACTCTCTGTTTTTTCTGCTGTTGTGAATCTCTAAATGTAAACTATTTTGTGTCACGCAACAAGGCTCTTTGAAAATCTTGTAACATGAAAAAAACAGAACAAAACAAACCCAACCAACCAAAAACCCATTTAGGTTGTGTTCCCTGCCAGCACATGGTTTGTGTGCAGTTGCTTGGCATGGTAATAGTAGATGAGGTTATTGGGGTTCAAATGCAGTATTTTTAAATTCTTCTTAAGTCTACTGTGTCAACCCTCTTTTGCTGTTACTTCTTTTCTTCTTGATCCTACCTTTTCCTTTAGATTAAAAATAATAAATAGATAAAAGATCTCCATATAACACCCAGAAAATACTTACAGGCAATGCATCTTTTCTACTGTAGGCCTAGAAATAAACAGCAAAGCACATCTCTGAGATTTGTGTACTTCAGAATCCAGTAACTTGCTTCATTAGTGCATGTTTCCAAACAGAGTATTTCCTTTAAAACAATCTTTCATCCTGTGACATCAGAAATCATTCTTGTCCTGAGAATCATCTACCACTTTTTTATCTTAAATATTGCTCAGAACATTGCAGTCTGATGCTCATCCCCTGGCAAGTCTAGGAATAAAATGAGTAGTGAAGAGGACAGAGAGCCTGAGTCTTCCGGGCTGCCTCATTCCTCAGGACTGTTGTGCTTTTTTGTTATATATCCATATTCTAATGGAATACTGTGTTGCTCCATGTGTATTTTAAAGGTACACGGAGTGTTTGTAGGGTATTTCAGTTGTCTGGGAGGCAGTGGCATTGACAGCTTTACACTGGGAGGCATGGGTGAAGTGAGAGGGCTGAGGGATTTTTTTGTTGTGCAGCTGTTTCCTTCCTGAGTCTCCCACAGCTTTATGTTGGCTCTGAGGGTGCAAAGCTGACTTGTTGGTCATGCTTACTGCATTCATACTAGAACTTAATTAATCCAGTCATTTTCTCAGTCAAGAAGAAAATACTGTTATTTGTGATCAGTAATACACTTGATGAGTCATAAGTTTTTGTGTCTCTGCCATAAATTAGTTTTTACTGTATTTCTTGTTTTAAAAGGTGAAGTAGTGTTTTAGTTTTTTGTCTTAATGCATGAGCAAGGTAGGGGGAGAATACATTACTAGCATCCTTCTGATTGGCACATCATTACATTTAGTTTTTGCTGGCTGCCTGTTGGACTATTTTGAAATTCCAAGCTGGTTTGGGTTTTTTTTTCCCATTAGAAGCGCAGTTTCCATTTGTTTACCACTAAATTCTGGTCTGTCACTTTAAAGTGCAGTAGCTGAGAAAATGACTTGTACTGGAATACAGAATCACAGAGTCATAGAATATCTCAAGTTGGAAGGAACCCGTAAAGATCATCAAGTGCAACTCCCTGCTCCTCAGACCACTGCTTAAAACTAAACCATATGACTAAAGGTGTTGCCCAGACACTCCTTGAACTCTGACAGGCTTGGTGACTTCCCTGAGAGCCTGTTTGGTGACCAACCACCCTCTCACTGAGGAATCTTTTTCTAATGTCCAACCTGAACTTCCCCTGATGCAGGTGGAAGTTCACTGTGGTTTTGTTCCATTCCCTCATGTCCTATCGCTGGTGACCAGAAAGAGATCAGCCTCTCCTGCTCTGCTGCCCCTCTTGCAGCAGTTGTAGACCGCAATGCAGTCACACCTCACTCACTGCAATATATCCAAATGTTCAGTTTTTCTAGTGCAGCCACTGAGTAGGTCCTAAATAGCTTTATTATCTCAGGTGTCATGTGAACAGCACCCTTTGACTTCCAACCTTGTTGATTTAAGAGTGTTCTCCAGGAGTGATGTGATGTAGCTCCTCAGTTAGAGTTGTCATCCTCTCGTTTCCATTTCCACTTGACTTTTATATGTGCACCTCTCTCTTGACCCCTTCTTCTCCATCTTGTGCTTTGTCTACTCAGTTTTAGTGCTGCCTCTGTTCTGTGTTTTTTTGCTTTGTGCACCGAGAAATAAATGCATAAATAGATTTTTTTCAAATCACTTTCCTTCCAGACTCACATCTAAATAGAGAAAAAAGCGGGATGCATTTCTTTGTACCCTAGTTTAACTGACCTTGCACGCATTTTCCTAGCGATCATTTTGAATTGCTTCCATAAATACTTCCTCAGACTACTTTAAAATAATTTTAAAAAGCAGATGGTTTAAAATACAGATCACTGAAGCCTACATTCTGTTATGGTTTTATTACTGCTTCCCCTCAAACGCTTACCTTAGTCCAATGCATTTCTTCCTTTTTTTTTTTCCAGCCAGCTGTCTGTTGATCTTTAATTACTGCTTGACAGGCCTTCAAAATTCTCAGTGGATGATTAGTTTCTCTAGTAGATCAAGTACAGTGTGCATTGTGGGGAAGTGTGTCTTAAGTATATATGTGTGTAACCTCAGATCTCTAAAATAACCAGATCTATTTTTTTTTTCACTTATACAATAATAGATTATTTCTACTTTCCGATAATTGTGGATAGGGCCAAACATACTCTGGACATCACCTTTTAGGTTTTTTCTGCCCTCTTTTTGA